ACCATACTGTGATGCCTTGTCCGGCCGGAGCGACGAGACAAAAACATTAAAACCCATTATAAACGAGGCATTTGTTGCATCCAGTGGGGACATAATTATGGATTATAATGATGTATACTGACTTTTTACACATTGCGTCGCGCCACGTAAACATAAAACCATGTCTGCATTTGTGATCGGAGAAATGACAAACAACAAGCGCTACTCTACACTGCTCAAAACGCGCGTTTGAATCGTCAGTGGCAAATTCTTCATATATAAAAAACGTACTTGCAGTCTGTGAGTCAGAAGAGCCGGCATTGTAGTCTACTCTCACAGGATCAGGAAACAGTCCTCCATAAAATGTGCTGCACACATCTGAATATTTGGGTTGAACTGTTCTGGAACAGTGTTGTAAATACAACTTAACCACTGATTTCTAGTCGTGTCCTCTTTTGGAAGGCCAAACAAAGTAGTTTCGCCTTCACAACGAAACACAGCGTCACACACGGCGGGCTAGAGTGAGCGGAGGCCGGAGGGCTAGAGTGAGCAGCGGCCGGCAGATTCGACGAAGGAGCGGCCGGGGGGCTTGTGGCAACCACATGTGACGACCCCGGGCTGGACTCCGCTTCGTCCACAGTGAAAGCCGATCCGGCGATCCACAGCGCGAAGTTGATGTATTTCCTCAGCGACCAGCACTGATCAGCTCTAGGCATGACGAAGCGTTTATGATCCTCTTTTGGAAGGCCAAACAAAGTAGTTTCGCTTTCACAATGAAACACACAGCGTCTTCACGTCATGGCAATACAATGGCAAACAATACTACAGCGAGAATAAAAGTTATGCCTTCTTTCTTTGCGTGAACATTTGGGCGGCGTTATGCAAATATTCCCACATCGTGACGTAGACATGTGGGGGCGTGTTAGAACGAGCCGTTTTAGGTAGGCGTGGTTGACTCTTAATTTTTATAAAGAATATCTCTTTGGATTTGAGACTTTAGTCTTTGCAACTTTAGAGATCTTCTTTATGCACCAAGAGCTTGTAACACTTCAAAGAGAAAGGAAAAATTGAAATCGCATCATATGACCCCTTTAATGACAACAGAGACACTTTAGCTGTTTCTATCGTGTTAATTTATTGTGTGATAATACTGGCACTTGACTCAGATAAATTTCACTTTACGTTAATTAGAGGCATTTCTGGCATCATTATTTAACACTACAAGTACTAAAGAGAAGGTGAAAGTCACATGACCATTTGTTAACAAGGCAAAATGCAAAAGTACATCAAAATCTGTCACACATTTAGACACTGTTCTGTTGCTCAGGCAATATAAAACCTTGCCAGTGCCTGTTCAAATTGCATATCTCTCAAGGACACCAGCTTCAGCCTTGAGCACCAGGCAGACAGCACAGACATTGACAGTGTGAGTGTGAATATGACTCCTGGATACTGTCTGAAATGTGATTTGCATCTTTACAACCAGAGGCATTATGCGTTTATTTTTTTAGGTGGCACCAATTGCAGTCCTGGCTCAGTTCACTCCCTAGGCAAGATAAGACATGACCAAAAATGTAATTAATTAACAGAGCTATCACAAAAATACACAAACTGATAAAAATAATCTAAAATAAATAAACTTTTGTCAAGCAAAGTCAAGTCACATTTATAAAATGCTTTATACATTGCAGATTGTTTCAAGGCAGCTTCACATTAATAAACAGGAAAATAACAGTGTTAAAGGGGTCATATGACGCGATTTCAAGTTTTCCTTTCTCTTTGAAGTGTTACAAACTCTTGGTGCATAAAGAAGATTTATAAAGTTGCAAAGACTAAAGTCTCAAAT